TTTCAAAACAATAACAGATCATTATTCTACTTTAAAATCTTCAAAAACAGTAATAGTGATGGCTACCATTGATTCAGTATTGGCCACAGGCCAGGCACTATGGTACATACTTTACACACACCATTTTCATTTTCTGGCACCATATTAAATGCCAGAAACTCTATAATGAGACCATATTAACTCTAGCTTAGTGAGAAAACTAAGACTTACAATGTTAAGAACTTGCCTATATTAAGTTATTCAGTGGTAGAGGTAGTTAATTTTTAACTCCAGGAAGTCTGATTCTATCTAGCGCCTACACCTCAATCATCCAGAGGCTAAGCTGCTCTTACAAGCTTAAATTTCGGCTTTTCAACTTAGAACACAAAATGTCCCTTTGCAACTTTATCTGCCATTCCTTGCCAAGCACCTTACATTATTACTGCTATCCATACATTTTTTTTAAAAAACTCTGCACCTTTCTACTACTTTTCTCTATTCCATTCCTACTCATCTTCCAAGGAGTACCTCGAAGCATTATTCTTAGTGATGCTTTCCTTTTAAATTGAGATTGTTGTTATTTCCCTTTATCAATCTAACAGCACTTTTGTTTCTACTTCACAATATTTATTTAAATTGTCACCTCCACTTTACTAGCCACACTAAGCCTGTATCTTACTTATTAATATCTTTTATTTTAAAACAGGGTCTCATGTATCACAGGCTGGCCTCAAATTCACTATGTAGCTAAAGATGTCCTTGAACTTCTGATATTTCTGACTCAACTCAATCTCAGTATTTGGGATTAAAGGGATGAATCACTGTGCCTGATTTATGTGGTACTAGAGATGAAACTAGGGGCTTTCTGCATGCTAGACAAGCACACTACCAACTGAATTACAACCTCCAATTCATTGTAAAATGTACAAAGCATGTACACAATAAATGCGACACAAGCAAACAACCCTACTTTCTTATTTCAATCCTACCCATCCTCCTTTTCTCTTATCAATAGATACCTATCTCCCATAAAAAGGTTGTAGAGGCACATACACTTAATTCCAGCACTGGGAAGGCAGAGACAGACAGATGATCTGGGTTCAAGGCCAACCTGGTCCTTGAGGGTTACATAGTACGACCCTGTCTTAAAAAAAAGTACTGCCAGACCAGACTACATCCTTTGAATGGAGACAACTTGCTAGTTCTGCAATAACTATTACCCACATCCATACTCAAATAAATTAACATTTTTTTAAGATTTTATTTATTTATTATGTATACAACATTCTGCTTCCATGTTTATCTACACACCAGAAGAGGGCACTAGATCTCATTACAGATGGTTGTGAGCCACCATGTGGTTGCTGGGAATTGAACTCAGGACCTCTGGAAGAGCAGTCAGTGCTCTTAACCTCTGAGCCATCTCTCCAGCTCCAACATTTTAAGAATATGTATTTTCCCAAGGATCAAGACTTTACCTCTTATACTGCTATTGTCTCCCTATCGGTAAGAAGCATACAGAAGGAATTTAAGAGTTACTATTTTATAACTTTTTTGAGATAGGGTTTCTCTGTGTAATCCTGGCTGTCCTGGAATGTGCTCTGTAGACCAGGCTGTTCTCAAACTCAGAGATTTGCCTGCCTCTGCCTCCCAAGTACATGCTGCTATAAAAGGCATGTGCCACCACCACCCAGCTAATAACTTTGATATCCTAAAATAAATTTTATGTACAATTAATCGACAATCAATTAGCTTGATTATTTCACCTATGAATATAAATTAACATTTTTATGAATAGTAACAAAGAAACCCTGTCTTACAGGGCGGTGGTGGTGCACACCTTTAATCGTAGCACTTGGGAGGCAGAGGCAGTGGGATCTCTGTGAGTTCTAGGCCAGTCTGGTCTACAGAGCAAGTTCCAGGTCAGCCAGGGTTACACACAAAGAAACCCTGTCTTGAAAAAAACAAAACAAAAAAGAAAAGTGCTGTCTCAAAAAAGCAAAAACACACACACACACAAAAAAAAAAAACTAGAAAGAAAATTTATAAATTGTGAGTGCTAAAATGGATATAAATCTAAACACTACTCTCTACGTGATGAAGGTGAATTTCAGCATATAGTAACAGAAATGATCAGGTCAGTGACATATTAGCTCTTCAGTTTACACAGCAAAACATGCACAGTTTAGTGAGGAAAAGTAACTGAGTAATATAGGTTAAGTAAATTTGTGGTGAGTGAAGAAAGGAATATTCCTAAATCAGGATTTTTATGTTTCAATCACACCATTTTACTGATGTGGCAATGAAGTACATATGCAGTTACATTTTTCCCAGTTTGTTTACATTTTCTCTGTTAAGTCTACATTTTATTAAACTTATTCCATTTGCTTATTGTGCGTGCGTGCGTGCGTGCGTGCGTGCGTGCGTGCGTGCGTGTGTGTGTGTGTCAGAGGACAACTTTCAAGAGGAAGTCATTCTCTGCTTCTACCAGGTGGGTCCCAGGGATTAACTTTGGTTGTTAGGCTTAGTAACAATAACCTTTACCCACTAAGACCTCTCACCAACCTGTTTGTTTCCATTTTCTTAATTGAAATATATACAAAGGGGGGGGGGTAACAGAAGCTTCAGGAACACATTGTGATTTAATATAACATTTTGTTTTGTTTGGGGATTTTTGAAACATAGTCTCACTATGTGGCCCAGGCTGATCTTCAACCTCCTTTCTCAGCCTCAAGTGCTGAAATTATGAGCATACACCATTGTGACTAACCACATCAGGTTAATTTTTTTTAATGATTCATTTTATTTTTAGTTATGTATATGCATGTATGTCTGTGTGGAAGCATGAATGTAGCTTCCCGCAGAGGCCAGAATAGGGCATCATTTCTTCTGAAATTGGAGTAGGAAAGCTGTGAGTTATTTGTCATAGATGCTGGGAACACAGCTCTAGTCCTCTTTAAAAGCTTTACATGGGGTTAACTACCAGCCTCTATATTAAATTTTTAATGAAGAGAGATTGATCTCAGTCAGTAGCTGAACTACTAGGTTCAGAACTGAGTATAACTAACAAGGAGACCTAATTATCTATGACCAGTGACACAGAATTGCTACTAACAAGTTTGGTGACAAGGCTCATCACATTTATAAATGAATCACTTATAGTATTAAAATTTCCCCAGCTTGTAAGTGGATTTCATAAGCGTGACAAAACAGTCTACATTTTCTAAAAACCTACATGTCTGGGGACAGCAGTTAAGAGCATTGCTCTTCCAGAGGACCTGAATATGGTTTCCAACACCCATATGGCTGCTAAGAACCTTCTGTAACTCCAGTTCCACAAATGGTGCAAATACATAACATACAGGCAAAACATCTATACACATAAAAGAAGATCTTAAAAAATAACAGCACCCCAAGTGGATCAGTATTTATCCCTGGTACACGAATGTACTTTGAGAGCCCACTCCACATAGAGAGATACTCTCTCAGCCTTGATACACAGGGGAGGGCCTAGGCCTTGCTCCAAATGATATGACAGACTTTTAAGAGTCCCCCAATGGAAGGCCTCACCCTCCCTGGGGAGCAGAAACCGGATGGGATAGGGGGTCAGTGGGGGCAGAGGAGGACAGGATGGAGGAGAGAACTGGGATTGACATGTAAAACAAGCTTGTTTGTAATTTAAAGAAAAAACAACAACAACAACAAAAACCCTACATGTCCGTCTCTAGAGTAGAAGCATTGAATCTAAAATTTAAAGACAAGAAGGAAAAGTTCCAGAGAATAAAAGACTACTTATAATCAATACTAATGGCAATTTCCCAAACACTCTTATGAAATCGTGTATATGCAAAGCTAGAACAATACCCTGAACTTAATGAAATCTGAGCTTAATTTTACTTATTTATTTTGAGGAAGGGTTTCATTATGTGGCTCCGGCTAGCTTGGAATTTGCTATGTAGACCAGATTGGCCTCAAACTTAATAGCAGTCCTCCTGCCTCTATCTCTAAAGTGCTGGGATTAAAGACATGTGCCACCACAGTATCAGGAATTTTAACAAATTCCACAAGGAAATGAAAGTTGTCTCCATGAAGAAGATGCAACTAATGCACAAGATGTTAACCTTAAGCTTTATAACTGAAAATTTCCAAACAAGCTCCTTTCCTACAAGAAAATGGTTGTAATTTCAAACCAATAACTGTAAATAGCTGTGTCTTGGACTCAAAACTCACCCCTAAGGAATCTGCCTTATGCCTGGAATCTTCTTTTTGCTTCATTAAAGCAGTATGGGAAAAAATACTGCCACATATATATCAAGGAACAAGATTCACATGAGGACAACATAAATACACGGTTTGGAAATGTGACTAGTTACTTCAGCTAGTATTCTTGCAAAAAGTACCTGAACATGCAGGAAATACAGTTAAGAAAATAAAGAGGTAGGCAATGTCCTCCATTTAAACCCCCACCCATAAAATTACAGGATTTGATAGGATCAATACCTGATCTCCTCTCTTCCCTTAAAGGAAAAAGAAAAAAAGAAAAAAAGACTTCTCAGAAAAAGAAGTTCATAAACTATTTGGCTCATTCTATGCCTAACAAAACCACATACACTTAGGTTCAAAACTGTGTCATTCTTTTAAGAACCAAAAGCACAGACGAAAAACTTTAAATTAAAACACACACACACACACACACACACACACACAAGAAAAGGGTTTCTTGTTTTAAAATATTTTAACGACAAACCACCGTCACCGTTCAAAACTGAGCTAACAGTGTTTAAACACCGTGCCAGTACATTTAAGAAGAGGAATTTGAAAAGAATATCCTTAAAAATAAACATAATCAAAATAATGAAATCTTAACAGTTTATTGGCTACACTACATAGTAAAGAAAAATAATTTCAAATTCTTACTAATATCCACAGTATTGTCTGTGGTTGACACGCTCTCTCAGACAGCTTGAACTCTTAAGGTCCTCTACTGCCTCTCAATTTCTCTATTTTAAAAATCTGTTTACCTGTACATGATTATCCATTAATTCCTCCCTGGCTGAGAAAGATTTGACTTTTTCTGCTGGAGAGTTATGTCGTGTGTTTAGCGGTGACAGGTAACCCTTTCTAATAAGTGTTGACGGTTTTTAAAGTGTCTACTACTTCCTATATATGCGACTTTTTGCCTTCTTTCTATAATATGATTTTTCTCCCCTGCTCCGCAGTTAAACGTCTGGGCCCCTAGATCACGTCTGGATCCTTCGCCCTTGTCCAAAATCCCGTATGTTTTCCCCAATTTCCACGCAGGGTGGCACCTGAAGAGCGAGCGCGAACCCCCTGCGGCAGACGCTCGCTAGGTGCTGTCACCGGGGAGCAGGCGTGGGCCAGAAACCGGGTGAGTCCGACGGCTCATAGTGAC